GTGTAAACCGGATGAATCTGTCCATTCTCTAATTAGAAGATGTAACTTCAATAAAATTGATCTGTTTCTTTAAATTACGTCTCATTTATGTGATTATCTTGATTTGATAGGTATGGTTACTTTGTTGTGGTGCCTGGGGAATGCAGTGGAACATTTGTTTGTCCAATGCTATATGATTTGATTGTAATGTGTTCTCAGGCACCGATTAATCTGATCAATGTTTAGTATGGCAGCCAACAAAAACACAATGTTTCTGCTTTCCTTGCGAACACACACAATTATTACGGTAGTCCTCGTTGGATGTAGTCAGAAACTTTAACTTATGTTTTGGACACTGTTCATCCATGCATGTTTTCAACATCATTCTGAACTGATTTTGATACAAAGTTGGTATACATCAAATATGGTGATAATACTGATGCACATCATTTTGTTTCGTGATTTGATTGAAAATAGCCAACTAGTGTCATTTTGTTTTGTTTTTTAGTTCTCTTCCCGTTTCTTGAATACTTTTTCACAGATTAAAGTTAATATATTTTGTACAAAGGCAAGACATAGTGGGTTACATGTCACATCTGTTGTTTGCATCAGTGATTATTATTTGTTTTTGTGCAATCACACAATTTCAGTATGTCATCAGCTGTGTTTCTGGCATACCTCTGCTTTTTTTTGGTGAAAACTTGGTGTGAACATCACACTTATTGGTTTACTGATGCTCATCAGTTACTTTTATGATTTGATTTAAAATGAACAACGCAGCTATGTTGATTTTATTTGCATATGTCCTTAACCATTTTCTGTGATTTACCTTGACTAATTTAGTTCAATTATGGTATTCATATGCACCTTTTTGTCAACCTGACATCAACTATTTCTCTCGTATGCCTGTTTACTCAACAGATTGCTGTCTGTACAAAAATGTGTGTGTCCTACTTGTTTCTCATGCAGAAATGCAAGGAATAATGGCATGAATATTTCTTGTTTTCAGATTCAATGTCTATGTAGGTTTCTCCTCCAATTTTTGAATGCTTTATATTTAACCAGTGATGCAATACAACAGTTATTCATGAAATGTATGAATTTCTCTAATTTTCTCTAATATTCGGTAAATGCTCCTTTTTTAATAAAGTTCATTTCAAGATGGATGAATGGCAGTTCTTTTTATAATGCAAAAAGTTCACCAGCATTGCCGCCATACCAGAATTGGATCTTGATCATGTATGGATGGATTTTGTTAAAACTTGGTATATACGTATTATGGGACTTTGATGTACCGGTATTTCACATTTTGTTTTTGTAGTTTGTATTTTAAATGGCCATCTGACTGCCATTTTCTTTTAATGAATGATGTCCCGAGCCATATCTCTGATATTTCTTGATCTACAGTTAGAATTGTATAAATTCATTATAAATAAATTTATTTGGATATGTAAGCAAGTGCATAATTTTTTTAATCCAATTCAAGATGGCCGAATAGCAGCCATTTTTGGAAGCCTGGAATAGGCTCTCATTCGCTTTTTCAGACTTGGTACATGGTGCATTTTTTTTTTTCAGATTCAGCCATTTTTTTTCCATGAATGTTGTTCCAGAGCTGTATCTCTGAACTTGATCCAATTGAAGATGGCCAAATGGCATCTCATCTATATTTTAAAATTGAAAATACATCAAGCCATTCTGACATTCTGCAACAGCATCCAATCATCATTTGAATATATGTTAAACATCATGTTCTGATTCCAAATAGCCCTCTGGGTTCAGTGTTGTTTACTATTGCATTACAGAGACTGTCATGTCAATGACTTGTTTTGCTAGGATTTAAAGTGTCACGAAGTCATCCCACCACAACCCCATGAAACATATACAGATGTAAATACACACCAACTGTGTCATTTTAATTCAGTAGTGGCTAAATTAAATTGAGCAGATAAATGTTAGATGAAAAATAAATGTTTCACTCAGGTGCTTTTTATTTTTATTCTGAAATCTGCAATAAATTTATGATTTTTTTTATAAAATTCTGAAAAATGTCTTTAAAAAAAGTTTTGATGCACACACGATGCACACTCCGTCCGTGCGTGCGTCTGTGCGTCCATGCATCCGTCCGGAGTCATATATCAGAATCCCTTGGATCGATTCCGTTCATTCTTTGCATGTGCCTAGTACTTTATGTGGGACATATGCACATGCAGTGGTTTAGCGATTCGATTCAAAATGGCCTACTGGCAGCCATCTTGTTTTTAAAAATGTTGTATTTTGGACATGCTTTTTCAGTTTTTATTCAAACTTGGTACATAGTTTATACATGTTAGGATACATGTCCATGACGATTTATTTCACAATTGGATCAAAGATGGCCGACTGGCAGCCATCTTGTTTTTTGAAAATGTCGTATTTTGGACATGCTTTGTCAGTTTTCATTCAAATTTAGTACATAGATCATACATGTTGGGATACATGTCAGGTATTTAAAATGCCAAAAAATGACCAAGCTCACGTAATTCTCACGTACGTGAGTTAGACCGGAAATCGGCCAAACTCACGTGTGCGCGTGAGAATGAGTGTTTTTACGTGTGTTCTCACGTAACACAGTACACTTCAAGGGTGACAAAGATAAATGCGTGAACGTGCGTGAGAATG